ATCATTCCATCTATCAAAAAAGTCCTACAAACAAAATTTCTATCGAATTAAGCCACATTCAAGCATTTATGGCAACAATTAGTCATGTAATGTAGCGAAATACACATTAAAAAAATGCACTTATCACAGTCTCAGGCTCAGGCGCAGGCATGGTACTAGTGAGCCCCGAAGGTCACAAGTTGAATGGCGACGTACTGTTCGAATTTAAGGCCACGAACAATGTGGCTGAATATAAGGCCCTTCTTGCTGGCCTGAGGTTAGCCAAGAAAATGCAAGTAAAGAGGCTTCACATTAACAGTGATTCCTAACTTATTGTGGACAAGTGAATGGCAATTTTATAACCAGGGATAAGGCCATGGTAGCCTACCTCAAATTGGTGATGAATCTGCTCTCCTCTTTCGAGAAATTTGAATTTACTCAAATCCCATGTCTTGAAAATGCCCACACCGATGCTTTGTCCAAGCTGGCCAGTAGCAAAGATTCTGAGTTATTGACTGTGGTACCAATCGAGTACCTCTTGGGGCCATCACCTCGACAGAGATAGTCATGTGGTTAGAAAGAACCCTAACTTGGATGCAACCCCTCATATCCTATCTCCAAAATCAAATTTTACCAAAAAATAAAAAGCAGACCTACAAGCTAAAGAGAAGGTCTGCTCATTTCATATTGGTTGATGATATTCTTTATAAGCATGGATTCTCTTCGCCTCTTCTTTGATGTATAGGAGCAGAAGGAGCCAACAACGTACTTCGTGAAATCCACGAAGGCGTCCGTGGAAACCACTCGGGAGGACTCGCTTTGGCCAGAAAAGTATTGAAATAGGGATACCCACCTTGAAAAGGACGACATCCAATTTGTTCGGAAGTGTGACAAGTGCCAACGTTTCTCTCATGTCTAAATGCAACCCTTCTAGGAGTTAACCCTAGTGTCCAGCTCTTGGCCTTTCAGCAAGTGGGGTGTGGACCTCATTAACCCCTTACCTAGGGGTAGAGGAAATGCTAATTTTGTAATTGTTGCAATTGATTACTTCGCAAAGTGGTTAGAAGCCGAACCCCTAGCAAAGATCACTAAAGTCAATACTTCCAAATTCCTGTGGAAAAACATAATATGTCGGTTTGGTATTCCCCACTCGATTGTCTCAGATAATGGAAAATAATTTGACAACAAGAATGTAAAGGATCTTTGAGAAGAACTGGGGATCGGGAAGCATTTCTTTACTCTTCATCATCCTTAGGCTAATGGGCAAGCTGAATCCGTGAACAAAATCATCAAACACACTATGAAGAGGAAGCTTAACACATCCAAGGGGGCTTGGGTAGATGAGTTGCTCCAGATGTTGTGGGCAATCCAAACTACAAGTTGGACCCCAACTAGTGAGACTTATTTCTCAATGAAATGAGCCCGATAGAAGTGGGATTACCTTCCCCTCGATGGTTGAGCTTCAATGAGATATCAAACGATGAACTTAGGAGATGTGAGCTTGATTTCCTAGAGGAAAAGAGGGATGACTTTTAGTTGAGATGGCAGCCTACCAAAGGAATATGACCCAATACTATAACGCCAAGGTGAAGAAGAGATCCTTTTGGGTAAATGATTTGGTGCTTCGGAGAGTGTTCCTGTCCTTTACGAAACCAGGAGTAGGCACCCTAAGACCAAATGAGAAGGGGCCCTATCGCATCGAAAGAGAAATCCGACCTGGTACCTACTAGATCAAAGACATGGATGGAATGGTCCAGCCTCACCCATGGAATATCGAGCATTTAAGAATGTATTACCAATGAGTGTAGCTCATCACTAGAAGTTTTCCTAGCCTTTGCAAATAAATAAATCTTTGTTTTAGATAAAGCGTGGGCACTTTGAAGGAGAGCATCCAGTCCCTAAAGGGACCACCTCATTTGAACTCCGAGGCATACATAACATGCCTCCCTTTTGACAAGGCTGAATGTCAAGGAAGAAGCCCTTACATGAGTGAACCATCCCCCATAAAAGGAAGCATGGGCACCTCGAAGGAAAGGATCTAGTCCTTAAAGGGACCATCTCGTTTGAACTCTGAGGCGTACATCACATGGCTCCCTTTGACGAGGCTGAATGTCAAGTGAGAAGCCCTTACATGAGTGAACCATCCTCCATCTAAGGAAGCGTGGGCATTTTAGAGGAGAGGATCCAGTCCCTAAAGGGACCAACTCATTTGAACTCCGAGGCGTAATCACATGCCTCCCTTTGACGAGGCTGAACGT